AAGGGTGGTGATGATGTGATGCGATGGTGATGACGAGGGCGGTTCGCTGGCGGTTCTCTCGGGTCGTTGCGATGTAGGTCGTGGTTCGCCGTTCGGGCATTCCAGCGCACATGTGTAGTAGCCCCACCGCGCTCCCAGATGCCCCATGCCCGATGCCCTGTAACGGGGTTGGGGGTGGGAAAGAGGGGGGAGGAGGGAGGAAGGGAGGAGGAGGGGGAAGGGGAAGGGGGAAGGGGAGGGGAAAGAGGGTGAGATGGAATGGAAGGAGTAAGGAACGGGAGGGATGTCAAAAGAAGATAGAGAAAGAGAGAGAAGAGGATGAAAATTGAAAAAAGAAGAAGAGAGAGAGAAGAATTCATCACATACTTTCTGATTTGTTAAAACTTATCGCACTGTTTCGTCCCGCATCGAACCACCCTCTCATCATAGAACAAAACCTCCAGAAACAACCAAACAGCGATATTATAACGACAAAAAAGACAACGATTTTAATACCCACGATTCTTCGAGAAAACGGACCGGACTCCTAAGCTCCTTGAGAAAGCTGTAACACATTATTGGCGCGTGCAATTTCTGGCGTCGGTCTCCCACGCTTCGCACTTTTTGGGGAGAGAATAATAACGGCGATAAATTTGCATGGAGAGAGGAAAGCCGAGTGTAATGGACGGCAGTGACAAGAGCGATAAGAAAAAAAGCGACAAAAAAGGCGGGTCGTAATATATTTTCTTCGGATTTTTTGTCTCGACGACTTCCATGATTAGATCGAATTCCCTCTTCTCTCTCTCTCTTTCTATTTTTCTTTCTCTTTCTTTCTTTCTTTCTCTCTCTCTGTCTCTGTCTCTCTCTCTCTCTTCTCTCTCTCTCTCTCTCTCTCTCTCTCTCTCTCTCTCTCTCTCTCTCTCTCTCTCTCTCTCTCTCTCTCTCTCTCTCTCTCTCTCTCTCTCTCTCTCTCTCTCTCCCCCTCAAACTCCCTCTCCTCCCTTTCTCCATCAAACTTCCCATCCCCTCTCTCCCTTTTCTCCCCAATCTCCTCCACCGTTCGGGCTCCGATGACCCCCACACGCCCGCCCTCCCGTTCTCCCGCCCGCCCGCCCGCCCTCCTGCGCATAACACTTCCTCCTCGTGGGCGGGTACCCGTGGACTTGACCCTCGCACCCGCCGTAACAGTTCGCTTCGCCGCTGGGTATGCCGCCGATGCCCGCCCGGCGCGAGGCTGGCGGGAACCGGGCGGGGCGGGGGCTGCGGCGGGGCGGGGCGGGAAACGAGACTTATTTCATGTGGGGGAGGGGAGAGGGGAGGGAGGGAGAGGGGAAGGAGGGAGGGAGGGGTTATTTTATGAGGTTGTTTCGGGAGGTTATCATTTTTTTCAGTTTTTTCTTTTTTCTTTCTTCCTTTCTTTCTTTTTTCTTCTTTCTTTCTCCGTTGGTTATATTCTATTTTGCGTTGCTTTTTCTTTATCATTTTTTAATGTTTTTTGTTCGTATATTTATTATCTCTTTTTTTACATTTAGTTACGTATTTGGTTGTGGCATTTCATAACCACGCCAAAACATCCTTCTTCCTCCTTTCTCTAATTACTTTGCTCTCCTTACGTCAGTCTCGAAAAAAGGGAGAGGGGAGGGGGGGTAAGGGAAGGGTCAGTCCCATAGGCCTATCACGACGCATCATCAATCACAAGGAGACATCATGCTTATAAAAGAAAAAAAAATTAGGGCATACTTACAATGGCTTGTATTTAAAGAACATTTTTTTTATCATTTTCGTCTTGTGGAATTTTCTTCACGAAAATATTAGTATTTTTTTAGTGAATTTCTATTTTTTTCTTTTTTGTTTAAGTTTTCACTTACATAACCGTGCATAAAACTCTTTATTAATTAATTCATTTATTTACCTCACAGGGTTCAATCTTTTAGTGATTTTCTATTTTTCCTTCTCTTTTTATTTTTTATCTTCCACTTACATAACCGTGCGTAAAAGCCTTTATTTATTTACTTATTCATTTATTTATTTATTTATTTACCTCACAGGGTTCAACACTTTCGCTAAACACATTATATAAGCACATTTCCCTTAGGCTATGTGATGAGTCCATGTGTGTGCATAAGAGACCAGCTGTTTTGTTCAATAATGTGGTTAGAAGCGAGCGAGTGAACCAGCTGTTGCGTTCACTGAGAGCTCGAGTGGATGTGCGTTCGTGTGAATGTAAATATTGACATATGGTTGGGGGGTTAGGGTGTGTTGTCGTTCTCGTAGGATGGTGGGAGGAACGTGGGTTTGTGTGTGGTTGTTTATCTTGTTTTTGTTTTGTTTTTTGAAATATTGTTCTTTTTTTTCTCTTTCTCTTTCTTTATTTTCTTTCTCTTTATTCTGTTCTCTGTCTCTTCTCTCCTTTCTTTCTCTCTCTCTCTTCTCTCTTTATTCCGTTCTCTCTCTCTTCTCTCCTTTCTTTCTTTCTTTCTCTCTCGTTCTCTCTTTTTCTCTCTCTCCTTTCTTTCGTTCTCTCTTTCTCTTCCCTTCTTTCTCTCCCTCAATTTTTTCTTCTTCCTCTTCCTCCTCTTGGTAACCCCTTCCCCACCTAACGTCTTATATCACAGTAATTTAATATGCATCTTATGCAACCCGAGAGCTTTGCGATCACTAAAAATCATCTTCACAGCAATTTCACTTCTTTTCAGCAAAGTCATCCCTAAAGAGTCATAGCCAAGGGTACATAAGGGTGAGGAACAGGGGGGGGGGGAAGGCTAAGAGTCGCATTCTGGGGTAATTGCACATTAAATGACATGCAAGCCCATTTAAATGTTGCAAGAGCTATTTCTTGCATGAGATAATGCCTCGCCATCGCCATCATCATCATCGCGGTTATTATCGAACATGAGGCATCTTGACCACTTCGACCGCATAAACAAAGGTAGCCATTTTTTTTTTTTTTTTTTTTTTTTTTTTTTTTTTTAGTCGAATGAGGGTCGCGCCATCGCATTGTGGAGACGAGTGTTTGAAAGGAGTGTGTTTTGTTGTTGTTTTTTTTTTTTTGTCCTTGGGAGTTTGTTGAAGCTACTATGGAGATAAGAAAGAGGTTTACATGCGAAAGCTGTTGGCCTTCACACGTGGTCCGGAGTTCCCGTTTTCTTTCGCTTCTCTTCTCTCGTTTTCTATACTTTTAATATTTTTTTATGTGTTCCTCGTGTATCTCGCCTTGTTTGCTTTTGTATACTATTGTCATTTTCATTTTCTACTTTTCTCTCTCTCTCTCTCTCTCTCTCTCTCTCTCTCTCTCTCTCTCTCTTCTCTCTCTCTCTCTCTCTCTCTCTCTCTCTCTCTCTCTCTCTCTCTCTCTCTTCCTCTTTATCTATCTATCTATCAATCTACCTACTCATCTATCGATCTATCCATCTATCTATCCATCTCGTGATGTGCATGGACGCTCCGAACGACCTTGTGCCGTATACCCGAAGGAGGCTTGGCTGTGTATGTGTGTGAGGAGGGGGAGGGGGAGGTAGGTGGGGGGGGGTGGGGTACGTATCGACCCAACGAAGTATCAATTTGTACTTTTCGTTCGTTGTGCCTTGGGCTTGTTTGGTGGTCAGCGGGTCCGAATTCAACGGTGGAAGACGGTGTTTCACTGGACAGCAGCGTGGTAGTTGGATATATGGCTACTGTTTGTTTACTTTTTGTTGTTATTTTGATGATTATCGTTGCTGTATTAGCTATTGTCGGTATTGTTATTGTTGTATTCATCATTATTATCTTTGTCATTATTGTTATTATTATTATCATTATTTCATTATAATTGTTATTATTATTATTATTATTATTATTATTATTATTATTATTATGATCACCATAACCACTTTTACTTCGTCGTCAAGAAACGAAAATATTCATCATTAAGCTGCAAAAAAAATGCTTCTCCTTGACTGCATCCCCGGGAGAAGGGGGAAGGAGGGGGAGGGGGAGGGAGGGAGGAGGAAAGGACACGAGGGAAGGGATGGACCGAAGAAGAGAAGAGGAGGAGGGGGGAGGGGAGAGGGAGGAGAGAGGAGGGGATGGCCCCTCCCTCCCTCCCCTCTCTCTTCTCTCTCTTCTCTCCACCTGAAGTCGTGTTGAAGAATCCTTTCGCCGCGGGAGGAGGTGGCCGTTAGACCAGGTTACTTGGCTTATGGCGACCCTGGCGTTGCGTGGGGAGGAGGGGGGGAGGGGAAGGGTAGGGATGGCTGGAGAGGAGGGAGGGGAGGGGTGGGAGTGGATGTTTCATGAATGGCTCTAGAGATAAAGTTCTTTTTCTCTCTCTTCTCTTCTTCTCCTGGTTATTATTATCGTTATTGATATTGTTGATGTTATTATCGCTATTATGATTGTGTGTTTGCCTTTGGTATGAGTGAAATGAGAGTAAATTATCAGTTTTTATTTAACTTTTTCCCTTTTCGCTTCGTGTGATCCAAAAAGTGTCGACACGGTATCTACTCTCACACGGGTCCAAAGTTTTTAAGAAAACACCAAACAAGACAAAAAGGGAATTGATAACACAATGAATAGATAATAAATGACACAAATAGACGGAAACAAATCTTAGAAACCTAACCTAATCCCCGTTTTCTATGCTTTCCTCCACGTGTAATCTGAAAAGTGACAATACGATAACTTACTCTCACACGGGTACAAAAAAGCCAGGAAACAAAACCATTAAAACAAACAAACAAAAAGTGAATAAACTACATAACTCTATCCATCCGAAACCCAGCTAACTTTTTTTATTTTATTTACAAGGCAATTGAGGAAAATAAAGTCTTTGTAACAAACAAAAAGTGAATTAAACACTACACAACTCTACCCATCCAAAACCTTTTAATTATTATTTATATTTTTTATTCATCTATTACAAATATTTTTTACAAAGCAATCCAGAAAAACAAAACCTTTATAACAAACAAAAAGCAAGTAAACACTACACAACTTTACCCATCCGAAGCCCAGCTAACCTTCCTTTTCTCTCCCTTTTGCAGACGTCGAGACCTGCCCCAACTTCGAGACTCCCATCCACACCATCTCCACCTGCCGAGGCGTGTCTGAGGTCGTCCACGATGGCTCCTGCGACAACCAGATCACCTGGAGCAAGGGTGAGTTCCCTAAGGGTGGTAGGGGAAGGGGGGAGTCACCTGGGAAGGGTGAGTTCCCTAAGGGTGGTCACCTGGGGTAAGGGTGAGTTCCCTAAGGGTGGTAGGGGAAGGGGGAGTCACCTGAGGTAAGGGTGAGTTCACTAAGGGTGTAGGGGAGGTAAGGGTGATTTCCCTAAGGGTGCAAGGGTGCGGGTAGGGGAAGGGAAGAAGGGTTTGTTAGAACTAAGGGTGAATAATAAGGGTATTTAACGTAGAAAATGGGAGACAATAGTTTAGGGTGCTCAGACTTGGAAAGTTGGAGCACCCTGATCAGTAGCATGGGCCATGCTGTAGTTTAGATATAGTTTATCAAATTAGTATTAATATTTCTACTTAACAGGGAATATAAACTTACTACTTGTCACTTATACATCAAAAGAACCTTAAAATAACTAGGCAGAAGGTAATAGAGAAAGGGCTTCACAGTAGCACTCGCCAAGAACAGGTTTCTATAAAGTAGGCCACATAGTCCTATCCAACTCTCTGTACGTAGCAGCAACAAGTGGGAGAAATTGCCGTCTGCTCAGCGGGTGGGAACTTGAGCAAGAATTTGGGTAAGAGGGATAATTTGAGACTCGGCTGGATAAAGAAGAAGGGGGAAAAAAAAGTGGAAATTAGGGTTGGATACTGTAGCAGAGGCCCCTGAGGTTAGCCTGGAGGGTTTTGGTCTTGCAAAAGGGAAAGTATTAAATGCGTGGGGGGAGGGGGGGTATTTTGTTATGTTTCCTCTTCCCAATTTTGCGTGACAGGATGTGAGAGTTTTCCATGCACAATACGAGCGTTAATGGCTTGCTTTGAGACCATTGGGCTTTTGTCATGAAAGACTGTCATGCATTGAAGTCATGTGATTTTATTTTCCCCGTAGCATTGTTTTGCTCCTGTTTCCACCCCATTTTTAAATTTCTTTTTCTCTCTTGCTTTCTACTCCTTTACCCCCTCCCCATGTGAGTTTCTTCGCCAAACCATCGTTAGAAAACTCTACTCTCCACCCCCCTCTATCTCCCTCTCCTTCCCACCCTCCCTCCTCTCCCCTCCCCATTCCCCCTTACTTTATCCTTCCTCCTCCCTCCTTCCTCCTCTCCCGCCCCCCCTTTTCTTTATCCTTCCACTTCCCTCTCAATCTCTATTTCACTAATCCCGTGCCTTCCCTCCCTCCCCTTCTGCAGGATCCATGTGCGAGGCCGTTTGCGAGCTCGGCTACGGATTCTTCGAGAAGCCCGCCCCCAAGTACTCCTGCGACCAGGGCGGCATCTGGGCTCCTGCTGGAAAGGCTCCCGAGTGTTACGGTAAGTGAGGCGTTGTAAGGGTTGTTTGGGGTTTAATTCCTTCGTTTTGTTCATTCATTTGTTTTGTTAGTATTTATTCATTTCATTTTGTCAGTCATTCATTTTTTTCACTTATTCATTCGCCATCAAAAAGGGACATTTTTAAATCATTCACCCAAGTTATCACAGACCATTTTTTTCTTTTCTTTTCTTTCTTTCACCCGCTTTATCATCATTCTCTCTCTTCCTCATTCGCTCTCGCTTTTTTTCTCCGCTAGTAATTAAATTTTGCAAAAGGATTTATTAGATGTTGGCGTGTTTGTCGTGACGCAACAGCGCCGACGACCGAACACGGTGACCAACAGCTAATAAGTCGTTACGATAATAGTTCGAGCGGCGGTTGAAAGTCTGAGGCACATGCAAGACGTACGATAATGTACTATTTTTTTCTTCCTCTTCTTTTCGTTCTATTTTCGACTTTTCTTGTCACATTTCTCGTCTTTTTAAATCATTTTCCGCTTCCTTTCCCTTCACCTCGCCCTTATTCCTATTTTCTCTCTCCCTGCTGCTGGTTCTATCGAGTTACCCGATTACGAATCCGGTTGCACGTTTTGCAATGGTGTGCTTTGGCCAGCATCGGAGTCATGAAACAAAAAAGAATGAGGAAGAAAAAAATATCACCATTTGACTTTCATAAACATGGAGGTTCTTGACACGGACTACAGCAATCTGTGTTCTCTTTCATTCATTTTTGTTTCGCGCTTATAAACAAATGGTTTTACATTTCATCCATTTGTTTTTTCTTGCTAACTCAGTCCATGATATTCACCATCGTCATCACTATATTTCCTATCCACATTATCGGAAATTCATCCCTACTTTTATCATATTTTTAATCATCCGATTTAATCGTTAGGCCTACCTTTTTATTCGTTTTTGCTCTATACATACGTCTTCACGTTGCTGCCTCCCCCCACTCTTCCAACTCCTTTTTTTAATGGGTTTTGACTCTTCTTACCCATCATTCCTTCGTTATCTAGACCTTTGCCCCTTACCCTTCTTCCCCATTCACTCACAAGATAGGTCATCGACACTTACTCATCACCCTATTCCCTCGATAATATTTATTACTTCTTGGCCATCCACGATAATATTTATTACTTCTTGCCCATCCATTTCCTCGTTTCGTAGGCCTATAGTCCCCTCCTCGCTCTTCACTCCTCACACTTCACACTCACGCCCCTTTCTCCGTCTTCGGGTATCGGGTATCTCGGCTTCGGCAGATCAGGTGCGGTGGCGTCCACTTGGATCCGTGCCCGACGCCAAACGAGGTCAAACCGAGGTCACGCCAAACAACCTTCACCGACCGTCTCTTGCTTGGTCATTCTTGATAAGCTTGCACGCACACATGGACACATAAAGAAAATGGTTGTGTATACGTGTGTGCGTGCGAGCATATATACGTTCATGTCTGTTTTCTAGTATGTTCGTATGCGGTCAATCTCTTTGTGTATATATATTTTCCCTTTTCTTTTGAAATGCGAATTCTGCCTTCCGGAGATTCGCGAAAGCACTTTTTAAGGCAGGTGGCGCTATTTTCCTTAAAATACCCTCACCACCTTGCAGTCAACCCCCCCCCCCCCTTTCTATCTCCAAGAGTCTAGAATACTGAGAAAGTAAACGCCAAACACCGTCGACCGGTTTCCGTGCCCCCCCACCCCTTCCCCCTCCATCAGCTGCAACTCTTGGCACCTTCCTCTCGCCCCTCCTCCTCTCACTACCCCCCTCCTGTCCCTCCCACCCACCTCGCAACATCTCACTACCCCCTCCTGTCCCCTTACCACCCCCTCTCCCCGCCTCACTATCCCCACTCAACACCCCCACCCCCCTCCTACCCCCGCCCCCTCCTACCCCCGCCCCTAATCCATGCCAGCTGATGCTGTGACCCGTCTCACTTGAGACTCTTCCAAGACACTCAAGCTTCTTGCTCCTTTCCCCGCCACCCTTGCGTTAGGGACATCACACCCTGTCCCTCTCCCTTGTGCCTTTCACCTCTCGGGCTCTTTTTAGCCTCGTTCTTGTCCTTTTTCGGCTTCGTTTCCCCCTTCCTCCCTCGTGCACGCTCGCGGAATGTGGGTCACCCTCCGCCTTGCCTTCCAACCCTTTTCTTTCCCGGCAGCGCTTCTCATGGCTCCCGGAAGCCCGCCCTCCGGCATGTGTGTTATGCATGGCGAGCCTGTGTTCCCAGACTCGCCGGACGACTTTACATGCAGACTCACGCGCGGTGCCATTCCCTCGGAGCCACGCCAGACTAGCACTGTGTTAGCAAGCGGCACAGGGCCTTATTGAGGTCACAACGCTCTTACACATACGCGCACACGGAGGCTTAGTATTCTCCTCAGCCAGAGATTCCTCCGGGATGCCTCTCCCTCCGTGCCTCTTCGCCCAGAGACGTTTTCTAACCTCGCCTTATTAGGCTCCCGACCCCACCTCCTCGGGCCCCAAGGCTGGCGTCGCTTGAGGTGAACCTTCAGGACGTCCTCTCGCCCCTTCTTCACTTCCTCTCGAGCTGTCTCTCGGTGCAATGTCCTTCGGGACTTTCCCTGATGGTATCCTCGAGGGCCTTCGATCGCCCGATGTCGCCTCTATGCTCATGGGTCATAGGGCTCACACTTTCTCGCTCCCCTGTTGTGAAAGGCCTGGCCAAGACGGGCCGCACAAGATGTCAATTGACCCAGAAGACAAAAGTATAAATGCATATCATTCCATCGGTTATTCGCTTCAGGAAATCCGACTGCAGGACGTTTTCCTTCTCTCTCTCCCTCTCTCCCTCTCTCCAGTTCTCACAGACACGACCCCTATTCACCCCCCTTACTCCTGGTCTCTTGCCCTCCACTCGCCCGCCCACGCAAGCATTTCGCGCCCACATTCTTCTTGTTGCTACGCACTTTCTCCTCTCCGTTTTTCTCTTCTCTCCTTTCTGGCGTGACATTATTTAGACATTGTCATGCATGTCTTTTTTTCCCCTCATTCATTCGCCCTTATGTTAACGACACGTACCCATTCTAGGGTGAGTCACGTCTTGCTCTTACTCACCCTGTGTAAACATGGTCGTGCGTTCACGGGCATTACTTTTCCTTTCTCTTTCACACTCAACAAAGCCACTTTCCTCTCCGCGACCCAGGGCAGCTTTCCTTTCGGTTTCTGTCTTTCTTTTCTCCTCTAAGGTCGAGGAAAGTGAAACCCGGTCACCCCGAGTCCGCACGACCTGTGTTGACCTCGCCCATCAGATATCGGGCCGCCGCCACGCCCCTCCCCTCCTCCCGCCCGCGCCCGCCCCCCCCTCCCGCTCTTATCCAGGATCGTGTCCCTCTCTGCATGACAAAGACTCGCTCTGCACACGCTATAGATTCCCTTATCAATAGCATTAAGGAGCCTCGGTTTCAGCGTCAATAGAAGCAGGAAACTATTACTTGGGTACTTTTTTTTAAATCTATGTCGTGGGTTCGAATCCCTTGAACAGGCTATTGAAGTAACCTGCGGCGGCATTTGAAAGGGTTTTGGAAAGGTTGTTCTCTCCGCGAAGCCTTCCCTTATTGAGGAAAGCTTTCACCCTCATTCAAAGCCCGCCATTACAAGCCGGAATAAAGTTACTCCAAAAAAAAAGTGCATTAGAGTAATTGAATAAGCAGAAGACAAGAAAATGCTGAGAATGAGAAATTTAGTTTGCGAATACAAAGCGAGTCCGTGTAACCTTTCTCACCAGAGGCTAAATTCTCCCTTTCGGCTAACCTGGCTTTTAACGCACTCAATGGCGGGTCTTCTTCTTGGCTTTTTCATCAACCTTCTTCCTTTTTCTCTCTTTTTATTTCCATGGAAGAGAAGAAGAGACATTTTTTTTCGACTACGAGGTCCTCAGTCGAGAGTGGATAAAGGGACTTTCACTTATTGGACTCTTGGCTTTCCCTATTCTCTCCTTTCCTTCTTCCTTCCTTCGTTGTTGTTTATTGGAGCTCTGGGCTTTCCCTATTCTCTCCTTTCCTTCTTCTTCCTTCGTTGTTGTTTATTGGAGTTCTGTATGACGGGTGATTTATCACATTCTGCAGACGTCGGACGTAGACCCAGCGCCACCACTCGAAGTCAGGGCTCCGTGTCGACTTATTTAGACCGCGGCGTGTTCCTTTATGCATTCATTCATGTTTTATGAATGACTCGCGACGCAGAACTGGACTGGAGATAGACAGCTTACCCCCCCCCCCTCCCCCACTCCCCCTCCCTCCTACCCCTTCGAACACACGCTTACTCTCGCACCTTCGCCTTGTAAGTGGTTTTAATGGTAATGTTGATCATGCACAACAAAATGTCTTTTACTTGTGCCAAGAATTCTCGTTCTTCTAATATATACGTGGGTTTCGCTTTCAAGAAGATATATTCGTCCTTTCTCTCTCCTCTCTTCTCTTCTCGTATTTATTTCTTGTTTTTTTGTTTGTGTTATTCTTCTCTCTGTTGTGTATTTGGGGGTTTCTCGCTCTGTTATTCTCTCTCTCTCTCTCTCTCTCTCTCTCTCTCTCTCTCTCTCTCTCTCTCTCTCTCCTCTTCGACCCTGACTCCCCCAGGCACTCTCTCGTGACATTTCACCCCCCCTTTCCACCTACCCCCAAACCCCGCCCACCCACCCACTTTCCCACCTCCCCCGCCCGTCCGCCCTCACTGCCTCCTGACCCATGACGTGACCTGACCTCCCCCGGGATGCTTCCTGCGGGGTCGAGGCGGGAGACAAGGTCAAGATACGCCGAACTCGCTGTCTGGAAATTTTCGTTTTGACTTCGCGTCTTTCCCTTTTCTTGTCTTCTTCTGTTTCTCTTTCTTGTTTGTTTTTTTTTTCTTGATATTTACTCTTTTTGATTTTCTTTATTCTTTTCTTTTTCTTTTTTTTTTTTTTTTTTTTCTTCTCCATTCTTTCACTTTGTTTTTGTTCCGCATTTCTTTGGCGTCGTGTCTTTATCTTCATTTTTCATCGTCTATAAGGGTCATCGCCCACGTCCACCTCGATAGGTATTGAACTCTAACAACCTCTTTCGATCAAGAGTACCGTGCCATGACACCGTCACTTGACACAACACCTCTGACACTTTTCCTTCAGCATGTAATGTACCCGAGTTCCTCAGTCATACGTTTTTGTCGTTTTTTTTTTCTCTCTCTCTCTTGTTCGTGTCGAGGTGCTCTCCTTCGCTCACTTTCTCTGCCTTTTTTTTACACGCGTCTTCCATTTCACTCCCATAGCTCCTATCTCCTTTCTCTTCTCCTCTTCATCACTATCATCTTCCTCATTATCATCATCATTATCATCGTGATTCATCCTCATGGCGCACTTAATTTTCCTACTTATTGTCAGCATTCCACCAAATCAGCATTTTTATTTATTCCTCCCTTATCCATTATTATCATTCCTTATTTACCCAACGTTATTACCCAGTATTCCACCAAATCATCATTTTTATCCTTCCGTTATCCATTATTATTATTCCTTATTTACCCAACGTTATTATCCAGTATTCCACCAAATCAGCATTTTTATTCATCCCTCCCTTGTCCATTATCATTATTCCTTTTTTACCCAACGTTATTACCCAGTATTCTATGAAATCATCATTGTTATTTATTCCTTATCCATTATCACCATTCCTTATTTACCCAACCTTATTAATCAGTATTCCACCAAATCATAATTTCTATATATTCCTCCCTTATCCATTATCCATTCTTATCATTCCTTATTTACCCCCCCCCCTCTCTCCCTCCCGCAGAGATCGTGCCCGTGTTCTCGGCCAACCTCCAGTTCAAGATCGTGTACAAGCGGTCCAGCATCGAGAACCTCCAGCACCAGTTCGACGGCCTCGTCTACAAGTACAACGACATCTTCTGCCCTTACCCCGAGGAGTGCGGCATCGGCGACCTCCAGATCAAGAGCTCTGTGAGTGTTGGGGGATGTTGGGGGGGATGTATAACGAGGGATAGATGTATAACGAGGGATAGATGTATAACGAGGGATAGGGAGATTGGGGTGGGTTAGGTCGCGAGAGGAAGGGGTTGGTTTGAAAGAATTGTGATTTATCGTATACTAACTATTGGGAATTATTTTAGAAATTCGTCGGAAATTGTTTAAGAATTCTTCAGAAATTATTTTAAAATTTATCAGAAATCATTTTAACATTTATCAGAAATCATTTTAAAATCCGCCAGAAATTATTTTTAGATTTATCAGAAATCATTTTAAAATTTACCAGAAATCATTTTAAAATTCATCAGAAATCATTCATAAATTACGCTCATATTCCTACACACCCCGAAAGCCGTTCTGACCCCCGCCCCTCCCCTCCCCCCCGCAGCTCGACGACGAGGGCAGCAAGCTGAGCGAGGTCATCATCACCATCGACACCCCCGTCTACAACATCACCGACCAGTCCGGCTTCATCGACCTGGTGCGCGAGGCCGTGTTCACCGTGACCGAGGACAACGCCTTCATGACCCTCATCGACTACGACAACATCGCCCTGGTTCTCCCCGTCAAGAACAAGAGCAACTTCAAGGCCGACCCTCAACTCTGCTGCCACACCTGTCCCGAGGGCCACGCGTACAGGCTCGGCAACTGCGGTAAGTGCCATCCCCTGGTTCTCTCCCTCCAGCCCAGACCAGCTGTATTTTTTTTTTCTTTTTTACTTGATATAGGTTAATTTTGCGTCTATCCTGCTCTTTATATTCTTTTTTTTCCATGTGAAGTATAATAGGATTGGTGTTTGTATATGTAAAAGCTGTATACAATTAAGATCACATTATTGATACAAAAACTGTGACAAAATAACTAATTTACCTTTTTCTCTTCTCCAGTTCGCTGCCCGACACCGGACTGTGCTTAGTGGGAAGCCGCCATCCCCAACTACCGCCCCTAACAGTACCTCATCCAATCAGCGTCTTCCAACGCCCTCCAGCCAATTACAAGCCTTCCTCTGAGTCCGTCCGGTGATTCTCCGTGATTCTCATTGGTCCACGTCGCGAAAAGGGGCGTGGTTCATGGGTGCAACATGTGTGCAGAAGAATGAGGTTAAATTATTGAAAAGCCAGTCCCTGAAAGATAAATAAATTATATATTTTGTATCTACACCAGGTTGTAAAAATGTATAAAAATATTTTGCTAACAGTATTATATATTTACTTAAAATTGAATATAGTGTTTTGGTGTTTGTAGTAGATGCTGGTGCAGTGTAGGCCTCTCTATCATAAGCCTCTTTTATGCACACTTTTGAATGTTGTAGCGGAAGTGTTTTTTCCAAACGCCCAGACGCTCATTCATATTTTTTAACATCCATTTTAGCTTCTTACCATTTTATTTCTTTTTTTTTACCCAAGGCTTCGTATGTGGCCTATATCATTTTTTTACAACCATTTTTTTCTGCGGTCCTCTAGTGGCGCCATCTCTATTTTTTCCCCAATCTTTATTTTTAAAACTTTGCCTCAAAAGCTCCCTCTTTCACGTGAAAATACACTGTTGTGCTGGTTTCTAAAGTGTTACGTCCTAACCCTTTCTATCTCTCTTTCCCCAGTTATCAAAATATCCCTTTTTATTTTTTTTGTGTCGCGTCACCCCAGCGCGGCGGGGGATTGATTACTTTTCGTCCGGTGCAAAATCGAAGGGGGTTAGAAATAATTGACGTTTCGTACCTGCCTTCAGTAATTAGTCGATTATTGTATTTTTCATTCGTGTGAAAAATTAGATATTCATGAAAATAAATTCGGTGTTTTTTAAATTCACGTAAAATTGTTGTTTTAGAAGCTGGACAAGTTTTTATCATGACATTTTAAGGGTGATCGATCGTTTTCTGTCCGCGCTGGCGTGTACCCTCACGTTGTGTCAATAACAACCGAGAATTTGTCTCTCGGGCCTCGTAATAGAATATAAGTTGTTATTTAAAGAAAAAAATAAATAGATTTAGATATTTGAAAATTAGTAGCTGTCTAGAGCATTATTTTCCCCCCATCAAAAACATGTATCAAATTTCTGACAAAAGGAATGAGATTGTCTGTTCTAATTTTCTTTTCTTTGGAATTAAATTAAAAACAGACATTCGAATCCTTCAATTTGTAAAAAAAAAAATAAATGAGAGAATTCTACATATCCCCCATAGAGCATTTAATTCCTTATAAAAGGGATTGGAAGCTCTAAACTTGACCAAAAGTGGGATTCCTCTTCATTATTTTAAGTACAAGTGCTGCGACATCACACTTTATGCCCTTCTAGCAGCCAGAGCACGATTCCAAGCTGATTTTTTGTTTACTTTATTTTTAAAGAAGAGAATCGGCGAGATTTTTGCTCTGTCTGTTGGAGTGCCTTTGTGTGTCTCGGTTTCTTGCTGTCAAATGCTCCATTTTCCAATAGATTTTTTTCCACACTGACATGTTAAGCTAGTTGTTACGTGTGAATGTTGACCATTGTATATACCTTGTATATTTTACATAAGATACCAATAAATGTTTCTTTCTATATATATGAATGGTTTTATTATCGCTGTTTACCTATGAAATAAGCTATTTAGGAGATAAACATAAATTGAATGTAATGGAACGAAAAGCGAATGACACAGCAATGGCAAAACGGAAAAAAAAAATAAAAAAAAAAATAGCAAAAAACTAAAAACAAATAATAAGGTGAAAGACTCTCCTGTTGGAAAGATAGAACAATGCGAGAGACTCTGCTTGTGAAAGTGGCCGGACGTGACTCTGCTACGCCAAAGGTGGGAGATTCTAAGGTCACCACCATGATTATTATATTATTAATAGCCATGGACTATTATGAGAGTTTTATTACATCAACTCGGCTGTTTATTTATTAAAGAGGTATAACATACTTTGTCCGTGTATATGTCTATGTGTATCTGTGAGCATATGTGCTGTGTTTGGTTGTGTATGCTTATAATAAAGGTTTGTTGTGCATGGCTGTGAATATGTGCGTATATATCTATGTTGTGCGCACCCACACCCACATACACACACACGCACACACACACACACACACACACACACACACACACACACACACACACACACACATACATATATATATATATATATATATATATATATATATATATATATATATATATAGATAGATATGTGTGTGTGTGTGTGTGTGTGTGTGTGTATGTGTACGAGTGTGCGTTATTCTATGCATTTCTTTTAATAATTCTTATATATTATTCTGTTTGCTACATACATATCTTCACTCACACACACATATATACGCACATTCTCTACTTTTCTTTACTCATCTCTTCCTGCCACACTAGACATACCAACATATCTACCCCCTCTTCGCAATAGCTATTTATTACTATAACACTTCTTTCTTCAAACCAATTATCACCTGCTATTACGTGGCTTGTAGCAACCCATAGACCACTTTTACTACACGACAGAGAGCCATAGATCTCTAACTTTCCTTTTTCCTCAGTCAGCTTCTCATAGACTGGCTCTCTTGTACAGTTACTCACCCATAAGAGTTAATCTAGAAGTTACTCGTCTCTTGTACCCAATCATCTTGTATGTTGGTATCTGTGTCTGTATGTGTGTGTGTGTGTGTTGTGTGTGTGTGTGTGTGTGTGTGTGTGTGTGTGTGTGTGAATGCACTCATGTACGTATAATTGTCTGTGCTTTCCCCACTGTACACTTCTAGAAATAAAAACAATGCTATGCCAGTCACGGAAGATTTCTCCCGAGACAAAAGACATGACAGACGATGAAAAAAAAAAAAAAAATCCATCTAGAGGAAAGACCAATCGACATGCCGAGCTGTGTAAGGTCTCTCTTCACTCCGTCTTTCTCTCTTCCCTTCGCTCGCCTCGTCTCGTAAGCCGCTTCCGCCTCCATCTGTCCGGCGGGAAGTGAAGTGAAGTGTGTCGTGTGTGTGCTCGCGCGCGCACACACACACACACACACACACACACACATATATATATATATATATATATATATATATATATATATATATATATATATATAATGTATATGTATATATATATATATATATACATATATGTATATATATATACACATACATACATACGTGTATATGTATATATACATACATATATATATATTATATTATATATATATATATATATACATATATATATATATGCATATATATACATATATTTTTCCAGTTTCTTAGAGCGAAAGGAGTTCTTTTCGATCCTTCTATACACGTCCAGGGTAGTCTTGCCATATCGTCGTCGTATAGATCGCAGAATCTTATCCTGATCAGGAAAAGGAAAACCAATACTGCTGAGAAAAACTTCATTGTTGCAGACGTTTCGGAGATGCAATCTCCACCCTCAGTGCTAAAACAGATACAAATATTTTTCTTATAGAAAGTGCTTACAAAGAATAGAAAACATATAATGCAAAAACATTTGAAAAAAAAAACAAGGTACATAACAATAGTAAATACAAAAGAAGCAAACTAACCATTCGACAGTATTGATGGTTATTACATGGTGAACAGGGTGGTTGCAGTGGTTGCGCCATTGAGTTCTGGGTTCATGGTAATGATGTGGAGAGATTCAGCTATGATCAGGTCAAATCTGTTAGGGTGGGAGGTCAAGATTTTGAAATCAGTTGTGTTAAACGGGTGGTCGTGAAGGTGAGAGTGCTCTCTGATTGCTGAGTAAGATGGCTTGCTCAGTGGTAGGCCAGTCCTGATAGACTTGCCTTTATGTTCGAGAAAGCGGTGTTGCAGCCAACGTGAGGTTGAACCCACGTACCTAGCCTGACAGAGACAAGCAAGGACAAGTAAAAAGGTAGACCACATTTGAACATAATTCAGAGTTGCACTTTTTCCTTTGTTTTAAAAAATTGCCAATTGAATTGCTATTATAAAAAAAAAACGGAAACTAACTTGAGGTTAACAAAGATGTCAAATACATCAAATTACCATATATGGGCAGTCTTAGTTTTGAAATTAGAAATTCGTTAAACAAGATCTTCAAACAGTGCTATCCTCAAGTTAGTTTCCGGTTTGTTTTTTATAATAGCAATTCAATTGGCAATTTTTTAAAACAAATGTTTATATGTTTTCTATTCTTTGTAAGCACTTTCTATAAGAAAAATATTTGTATATACACACATATATATATACATATATAAACATGCATATGTATATATATGTATATATATATACATATATATGTATATATATATATATATATATATATATATACCACACACACACACACACACACACACACACACACACACACACACACACACACACACATATATATATATATATATATATATATATATATATATATATGTGTGTGTGTGTGTGTGTGTGTGTGTGTGTGTGTGTGTGTGTGTGTATATGTATATATATGTATATATGTATATGTATATATATATATTATATAATATATATACATATATACATATATATTTTATACACATACACACACACACACACACATACACACACACACACACACACACACACACACACACACATATATATATATATATATATATATATATATATATATATATATATATATATATATATATACATTATATATATATATATTTATATATATGTATATATATATATGTATATATATACATATATATATATATATATATATATATACATATACATATATATACATATATATTTACATATAATACATATATATTATACAAATACACACACACACACACACACACACACACACACACACACACACACACACACATATATATATATATATATATATATATATATATATATTATATATATATATATGATAACTTGTGTTAGATCTACGTGCAATGCGTGAGATGCCACAATCCACTCTTGCCTATTAGCGAATTGCTCAAGATACGAAAGACAAACGAAAATAAATAACAAGAGAGAAAAAAGTCGGAAATTACGTAGACTATCAGAGAAACAAAAGAATTAGAAGGAAAAAAAAAAGAGAGAGAGAGATGAAGACACAGAGAGAGAAACAAGACGACACC